AGATCAGGCAGTGTAAATACTGCCATCTGGTGGTTAAAGGCAAACACTTGACAGATAAAGAGACAACAATCAAGAGTTTTAGCATACCACTCCATCAGTTTATTGTTGCCAGGTTACATAGAAAAGTTGTTATCAATAATAGATGTCAAAAGACTGAGGAGGCAGAGAACTCGGTCACTGGGGTCGTCAGACTGCTCGAGGTGCAGCAGTAACTGTAGCAGTGGTGCTGCTGGTGCTTGTGGTGGTTGGCGTCTTTTTCATTGTCTTATTCAACTGTAGGAAGGAGGAGAGATGTTTACACAAGATTAAACTGGAAGTCCTGTTTACAACTAATCTGTTCAAGTGAAGGCTAGCTGTGGAACCAATCCCGAGAAGAGTAGAATTGTTTTACATCAGTATTGGTGACAATATATATATATATATATATATATATATATATATAGCAACTCCGTTATTCCATCACTACTCACCTCCTCAAACTTGTGGATCTGTCTGATGAAAAAGTCTCCGTACCGACGAGCAACTTTAGTGTCGGCAATGTGGATCATGTCCTGTGGAAAAGTGTCGCAAAGAAAAAGCTCATTAGAAAAATGAGCTCGTATTTCAGGGGGCTTATGGACCGGCTGGGACCACTAACGAGTTCCAACATCATTTTAACCAAAGCAACAGTGCTTTTCATTATGATCCATCTCACCATTAAACTGTTCATAACAAAGGCACCACATTCATTTAACAGACTTTACACACCCTGTCGATGTAAAAGTCGACTTCAGAAGCAGACTGGAACTCTCCGTCCAGAGCTGAAACGCCGCTGGTCCACACCAGGTTCTTCATCTTGTGTTTGAAGACGAGCAGCTGGATACGGAACTCCTGCTCAGTCATGTCCAGGAATCCTGCCAGCTTGGCTACCGGCATGGTGGTGTACAGCTTCAGGAAGCTGCAAGGATACGTCGGGACTTAGATGACATGTGCAACCTCAGCAGGTTCTAGAGACATTAAGTGTTTCTGAGGAGCCAGACGGCAGGAGAAAAATAACTTATATATATATTTAACTAATATATTTCCTACATCAAAGCAGAAAAACAGCATCCAAAATGTCTTTATCTGGGTACGACTCCATAGCGTACATCAAACGTCCCCTTTGTTTATCTTGTGCTTATTGGTCCTTGTTGCTGCCACACATGTGACCACACAGTCAAAGTTGGTATGCTCTACCTGCGGATGGTGGAGAGCTGGGCCTGCTGCTGCACCTCTTCTGCAAAGACCTTCAGCTGCTGCTGGAAAGGCTCTTTGTGGTAGTTGGGGTGGACGTTGTCGTAGTTGGGCACCACAGGTGACAGGAACTTGGGACAGACGAAGCTGAACAGCTCCTCAAACACCTGCTGGTCTCTGAGGTGGAAAAAGGAACAATTCTGTCAATAAAGACGTTGTTGGTGACGGGCGCCAGAGTTTAAATACCAATACTACACTTCCCGGCCCAGTGCTCAGACACACAAGCAAAGAGGTACACGAGTTTCACGGTACATAACAGTTAAGTATCAAAAAAGACAATGAGACAAACACTGAACCTCAAATACAGTTGTTCCAACACTGTGATGAGTTTCTCTCTCACCCTTTCTGCATTCGCAGCATCTTGTCTCCGTACTTCTCCCTCAGCTGGGTGTGGATGCTCTCATCGATGCGCATCGGGTACATGGTGAGCGCGATGGCCAGCAGACCGTGCATCTGCTCATTTTGTTTGTTAACCTAAAAAACATACACAAGTATTATGACACCTGTTTAAACTATAACACTGTTGGAAAGAAGGCATGAATGAAAATACCAGATGTGCATTACTCATGCAATTAGGAAGCACTGCTCTCACTGACCATCTCATATTTATACGTCGACCTCTGGAACATGTTTCTCGTCCTCTGGATGTAGAGCAGGATGTTGGCAAATACTCTAATAGAATCCTGGTAGCGCCTCATCATCAGGTAGGCAAAACCCACATAGTAGTATGTAGTGATCTGACACTCGGGGACACGAGAGTACATACTCTGAAAGACAAGAAACAAAATAGATTCATGGATGTGGACCAGAGAGAAGAAAGAACAAGAAGACGCAGCCTGAAACCAAGTAAATATACGTCAACAAGGAAAAGACAATATAAATACAGATCTTGGCATATTGGATTGTATGGCTAGTAGTAGTGAAGCGTGTCGCTCTCTACATTAGGTGGTTTACCTTCTTGTTGAGCTCAATGTTCTCCAGGACTTTGATGGCCTGGTAATAATCACCAAGCAGAGAGTGAAGCCTCAGGAGCCCCACCAAGCTGAAGTAACCCAACATCTTGTACAGGGAGTGACGCCCATATTCTCCAGCCACACTCTCTGGGTCTCCTGCAGCACACCAACGAATAACATGTTAGCTGAACACACTGAAGACACAGTCTCTTTATTAGACTTGTTATTCTCTAAACAGGAAAGCAACAAACTACTAGAACTAAGGTGTTACGGGACTATAAAGCTACAGAGAACCTAAACTGCGCCTTATTTTAGTAACTTTAACACGGTCCAGGGCTTCATTTTAAAAAATTCAACATTGTAAAAACATTGAGGTTTGCTATACTTCACCCCCGCTTCCTTCCGTATACAACTATCTACAACAGTCTTCTATACCTCCGCTGGTGTAGATCTCAAGCTGGCGGTTAATGTTGCTCTTGTCCACCAGGGAGTGGAGAACGTTGAGGACACTGTGGACGTTCCAGATCTTTGGGTTGTTCCTCAGGAATTCGATCTCCTCCTCTGACTTTTTGGCCGTCTTACAGCGGTACTGACTGAAGGACTGGAACTGGAGAGGAAAGAGTGACATTTGTATCAGTGTAAACAGAATTTAAACATACTTTATGTGTGCTATTAGATTGGCGTGACACAGGACACATTAACCACATGGGCCATATCAATAAGCACTAAATAATAAGCATGGACAAGTATGGGAAAGCTATGTTTAATATGCCACACATATGGTACTCCTTGTACATTAATACAGCCCCAGTAATTATTGGCAACTACTTTCTGGTTTTTACTTCATCAGATACTTACTCGTGCTTGTCCTTTTGTTAGGGAATAACTGAGGATACATTTAAAAAGAACATAATGCACTGTACCTGGTAGATGAACTCATCAATGATGTCCCAGAGCCACTGGTTTGGCAGCTCCAAGGGGGCGGGGCCATCGGCATCTAAATCACAAACATTGTCACATGACTCGTTCTTCATTAGGAGATATTTTACACAGATTACTACAGGTGAGTGGAAATGTTAATGACTATTCTGGTAACTTACTGAGAATGTAATTGAAGAGGTTGCAGTAATTGTAGTACGACTCAAACCTCTGGTCCAAAGTCGGTCCACCCTGATGATAGAAAAAACAAACAATATTTACAACAAAATACTCGAGACGTTTTCACACATTTTGCTCAGTAATGGAGATTGATACGTGTTTATATTAAGCAGTTACTCACGCTGACTTTAGCGTAAATGTGTCTGTAGTAAAGTTCCTTATAGAGGATGAGGAACACAGCATCTATGGGAGATAACAGAAAAACAATGACGTGAAACATTCCCACTGCTGATGAACTCATTTCTCAGTGATTGGAAAACAGAGGACAGTCAATTTATACAACTGTAAACACACCAACAAAACCACCTAAGAATCTTGCCCTTTGAGCCGCTTGTACAACGGCATGTACACATATTTAGCTGACATCAGTGGAAAACAATTGTTGCATGTGCATTTATTTTATCCCATTTTAAGAACCAAATCAAAAATCAAAGAAAAATGTAATTATGGTGTCTGTGCAAAGGCAAAAAACGGGACAGAAGACTCTATAACCCTAACTCACCATTTCCAACGAGTGCGGCAATGGCCTCAGCCTCTGGCCAGGGAGAGTTCTTGAAGAAACGGTCGGTCAACTTATTCCAGCTGAACAGGAACACAATACCAAAGGTGAGATGCTCATCACACACACACAGCTTTAATGTCTCTGTGAAGAGGAGGCAACAACATCACCACAACAAGAAGAGGTTTATTCTCAGAGAGTCAACTTCACCTGTTCTCATAGACGTCCTGGATCTCATAGATCTTCTGCTCAATGCTCTCACTGGAAACTCCGTTGGACTGCAGCTCATAAACCTTCTGGTCGATTAAGTCAGAGGTGGTTTTGTGGAAATACTGCAGGAAGTTCTTGATCACCTCTGGGATGACTTGGTAGGTCTGCTGCTCATACTGCCTCTCATAGGCCAGGTCTGCTTTGGGGTCACCTGCAGGGAGATGGGAGAGTGAGGAGTGGACACTGAAAGGGGATCTCGTAGATTTAGGTAAGTAGGCGTGTGTATACTAACCGGTGTGCAGGTCGCAGTCGTTTGGGTAGGCGTACGGGTCGTACTGTGCCGGAACAGAGGACTGAGAAAAAGTGTGATTAAAGAACAGTTACTATATGTCAACTAGACAGTCATCATTTACGCTAGCTTACTTTACCTAACTCGTTATATTCTACCTCACACAAACTACATAACGTTAGAGAGAAGGAGATTTTATGGTTGCACCCTCTGTAGAAACAGGGCTACAACAACCACGACTATCATGCTGGCTCATCGAAAGCTTACGTTACTGTTATGCCGGTGGAGTTATGCTAGCTGGCTAGCCAGCTAACGCTACCTAGCGTGCCATTGTTATTAACACAAAAGCATTAAAATGCCTTGAAGGGAAACAAATGTGAACTCACTTCTTCCTCTTCTTGGTATGACATGACGCTAGTTGTTATCCCAAGCTCATACACTGGAGTGAAACACGACGATATGGGCTCAGTTAGCTAACGCAGCTACACCATGCAGCTCGAGACGGAGAGAAGACCGGAAGCGGAAAGAAGGAGCTGTGACGCGCATGAAAAACGACATAATGAAGCACTGTGGGTGAGTGTTTTTGCTAGTTTGGGACCCGAACGCTTTAAAAAAATCATTCAACCGGTAACAATGATGGGGGACACTATCGAGAACATTGCATTTCTTTTCATGAACATTTCGTGTTCATTTCTGCTGTGCAAATAAGGAATTCAAGTTACATTTCCTCCAAACTGCCACAAAATAACTACATTGCAAGATAAGCAAGGCCTAACGTTATATATTTTTATATTGCTTGATGTGGTTGCTTGACGAAACAAGACATTTGACTTGTCATAGCAGTTGCAACTAATAACATCCATTGGGCTCCGTTCCGGCTTGTTTCCAGAAAGTATCGCAATACAATGCAGTATTCAACGTGATAAAGTACCGCTTGCAGAATATAATGTAAAAGTAAAAATGGGTGATGTGACGGATGATATTGGGTCAATATGGTGAGAGCTTGTACCTACTGGTGAACACCGCTAGGTAGCGCTATAGTCACAAGATGCCGCTCTCTCCAGAATCAAGAAGACTCAGATGGCCACGAACTTGACAAAAGTTAAGTCGAGAAGAGCATCAAGAATAAACGGGCCATGTCCTTCCAAATCAGGCCTTAATGCTGATTATAACCCACCCATTTAATATGAACTCGGATAAGTTTGGCATGCTTTCAGTACAATATGTGATTTAAACCAATCAAATGGGTATATTGCTAAATAGATCTCTAAGACTACTCTTTGTGTAACTTTATTTTGAGAATGTTATTATAAACTAAGAGAGGATTTTGTTGTCCAAATTGTATCTTGAAGCTCGTGTGCGCGTGTGTGAGCGCGTGTGTAGGGGGAGTCCTGCAGGATGAGAGTTTATGAGCAGACTGTGTGCTTCTTGTTCTTGCTGACCCTCCCAGCAGACAGTAGCCTGTCTAATCCCCTCCTTTCTTTGCCAACGGAATATCATCTCAAGGTCCTCCGAGAATACCGGATTTCTTGTTGTGGCTTTAAAGGAGAAGGAAAAGAAAAAGGGTGAAAACCTTTTGAAAAGAATACCTGTTTGCCTCAGCTACCAGCAGCAGACGGACTCCCTCTAAAACTACCGACCTACCGGCTAGGGAACTGCCTGCATCCGATAAGGGATCTAGTCGACAAAATCAAGTGTGGAGGGAGGGAGTGTAGAGAAAGAAGTCGTATTGGAGAGAGGGAAAAGGGAGAGGAGACACCGAGGGAGGGGAAAAGGTCAGGGACACGGGGGGGTTCATCGCACTGCCAGAAATAAGGAGAGTGTCTACACCAACGGTTTGGCAGACGAAACCAAGGAGACGAAGTGAAATACACTAACGACCCCGTCTCCCCAACACTGACATTTTTTTTTTCGCCAGGACTACTTTGGATTTTGAAACGTCTTCGACTTCTTCCAAAGAAGTGTTTTGGTGAAATTCCGGCAACGCAGAGTGAATTTTGGACCGTGCGTAATTTGGAGAGTTTGTTGCACACTGCGTCAGGATGCGCGTCTGTCTGCTGCTGGTCTTCCTCTGTCTGCTGTGCGCTGGACGCGCTCAAAAGTTCTCTGCTCTCACGGTAGGAAGAGCCATTTAAAACTCCCAGAATACGTCTCATTCATATCCACCTTAAAAAAAGAAAGGTTTAAAGTGAAGGATAAGGTGCTTCAATTTGAGTAAAATGGACACAGTCTAGCAAATCCATTATTTTCGTCATGTAGTTCTGAAACAGATCTTTTTAAGTCAGTATCCTTTATGTCTTTTTTGTTATATTCTCCTTTAATAATCAAAACACTTATATTGAAAACAATTAATAACATAGTGATGCATTTGAAATCAATTTTAACAGCATTATGGCCTAACCCACTGTCACAACCTATTTTAGACACCCTCTCTCCAAATGAAGAGGCTTTTACTCTTTGAATATGTTTCATATCTGGCAGAAATTCAGGCTGAATTTAAGATTGATTTTTTAAAACAATAGATTCTATGTTCTCCATGAGTTGTGTAAACTCCATGTCCCTGTGTTTCAGGGTGTCTCTCCTCACAGTGGGTCTTAGATGGCAGAGCTGCTGGCTTGCCCGTGAGGAGTTCACTGGTCTGTTAGCAGCACCACCGTGGTTTGCTTTTATTGCCTTTACGTGTCTGCTAGCGTCTCGTCTGCCTCTCTGTCCTGTTCACTCCTGTTGTGCCAGCGGCTCAGCAGAGGCTACTCTGCAAGCTCTGCTGCACCAAAGCACATGGCTTTGTTTACAGCAGCAGAGCAGCAGCAGCAGTGCATCCTGTCCATTGACCTTAAACTGCAGGAGAAGGTGCATCTTTGAAGACAAATGAGGGGGATTTCATGTCCACGATCAAGCGCAGGTACAGCGCTGAAGGAGGAATAATAGAGAGCGGAATGTGCACAGTGTCAGAGGTTTAACCCCTTGATTTAGAGATTGATGGCAGCTGCTCCCCCACCACCGTTATTTATGGTCCGGGTGAGGATGCCTTAATATCCAATTGGAAACAAATGGCCATGAGTCGTTAACCGGCAGGTGAAGGTGCGGAGATCCTTTCTCCCTGACGGCACTAAGGAGTCGTGGAATGTGGGAGGAAGTGTTGTACTGAGCAGATGCTCCCCCTTATTTTCACCATGATGCACACATTTAAACACACAGAGTATGAGTTTCTTAAAAGTTTCTTTTTTTGAGATGTCATGGGTAGTAAATTTACCCAGCAGTTGATGTAAAAGTTACATCGATGCAACTGTGTGTTTGGAGATGACACAGCATCCACTGTGCTCTGAATGTGACGGTGAGAATGACAAAGTCTCTATTTCATTACATGTTTCAGTGGAAACTGTGTCTGTGTCAAACCTCGCCACTGTGTCTCATAAGACCTTCTTTATTGGAATAGTACATGGATCACTTGTCCTTTTACAGGACTTTGTGGGTGACTCATGGCTTATTGTATTAATGACACAGGAGAGGTTATTGTTGGTTTCAATAAAATGTCTCCATGTGATATTTTGTGCATATTTGAGGTCGAACAGGCAGTTGAATATGGGATATTTGCCCAGGTTATTCATGAGGCAGACATTTTCCATGGTTTATGGAAGTATGAAATCATGTGTGAAAAGATGAGGGAGCAAAGAAAGTCGACTGCCTCTTTTACAAACCTGGAGAAAGCAATTTTAGTATAACATATGGGCTCCTTTGCCCCCTATGCCTTCATCAAATTGTGCACCTGCTCGGAGAGATTTCCTTTGTCTCATGACTATCAGTGGCCTTTAACACCACCTCTCTTTCTTTCTAACATCTTTCACAGCAATTAAATGCCTTTTCCTTTGATTGAGTTAGTAGCCTGGTTAAAGGCTGTCACTTTCTTCCCTTTCCACCATGCTGGAAACTAATGATCCCCTTTGCATCTTAGCATCCACGCAGGAAACTCCAGCCATTTAACACGTTTGCCACGGCTCTCAGCTGGGGCCCCCATTGACCCCGCGGGGCCGTGGTGTGAGGGGCCTCTTGGGGCGCTGGAAATGGGGGCCTCCCAGCCCAGAAGGCCCTTATCAGCCTACAATGTGCTCTCTGCTGGAGGCTTGCCTCCTGCCTACTCCATTCAATCCCACAATGCTGCAGAGCCAGGGGGAGGTAATTGGATTTGATTTGTATGCTGGTTGGTCTTGAAGAAAAAAAGAAATAAGTTTCTCTTACACTGCGCCAGTCTCGCCCTCTCTTGCCTGTCTCTTGTTCTTTTGCCAACCTCTTGTATTATTTGAGCAGATGCAGAAATCATCTACCAAAGAGAGATCATGCAAAGAAAAAGAAAAATCCTGAAAGGAAAGAGCAAAATAAAGAAAACGAAAAACAGATAGTGTGAGCCAGCTGCTTGGAAGTACACAAGAAAAGGACTTGAGCAATAAATGAATTTAAGTCACAATATGTGTTCTGTTCTTTTGTGATAAATTGGGGTGGAAGCTTCTGCTGCATGTAGCTGAGGTGGAGGCCATCCATCACACTCCACCGCATTGCTGAGCAGGATGGCGGTGCCGGCTTGAAGAGCCTGGAATGAGACATCAGGGGAATGTCAGGGCTCTGCCTCGGCCTTGCCCATCCATCACCACAGGCCAAACACACAGAGATCTGCAGCAGACAGCTAACTACCATTAGGAGGACACAGGAGGAGGAGGAGGTCCTCAACACACCATCAGTCTAGCGCTTCCTCCTCTCAATGGCTTTCACATCTTATTTGTTCTCCTCCTTCAGTGTGGCCAACTGTGACTTTGAAATAAACACTTGGTTGTCTGATAGTGAATCTGGGTGGCTGATTTCATGGGTGGCTGATTTCATGGCTAACTGTGTTTTTCCACACTGTGCTCTTGGAGCTCTATCGAAAACTATGCAGGCACTTGGCGCTCTGCTGTATGGTGGACATCTAGCAGGATGCTGGGCTGCTGAATGACTCGGTTTGGGTTGTCAGTCTGCTGGCTTGCAGGGGCCGATGCTTATAATGCTGGTGTAGTGTGAGCACTGGGCTGGCCAGCATGAGCTGTGGCGAGGCTGGTGGTCCACCACCAAGCATGGCTGGACGCACTCAGGCACTATCGGAGCAGTTACGGGCTTTGGAAGGTTGCAAAAAGCATCCTGAGAACAATCTGTCACATCTGCTGGACTTTATGCGAAGGGGTGAGCTGTGAGCGACAGAGTAGAGGGTGAGAGGAGGTCATCGCTGCAGAGGGATGTCCATGTGGGAGGACAAAGGGAGAAGGAGGGAGAGTACCGACAGGAGATGGTCAGTTAGATGCAATGACGCAAACAATCAAGAAACTCAGGGACAGTAACAAGGAGGGGCAGGGAGATGTTAGACCCCCACTTCATAAATGGGCAATGCTGTAGAGAGAGAACTAGAGTATCCCTCTCAAGTATTGTTCTGTAAACATTATATATTAACAATTCATAACAAAGTACAACAGTGATTCTTCTCAAGATCCCATCAAGTAACAGGTGCCCTCTAGAAGTCAGTGATATGAAGTGGCAGTTTCTTCAGGAATTAAAAGAAATGAAAAGAGCAAACTTAAAATGGAGAACTCCTCCCAATTGTGTCAAAACGGCATAGCTGTCCCAACCCTTTTGGCTTGTGACCCCTCAGACTTATCTTGGGACCTTTTGGGGAATTCTAAACACCCAAAGGGACCCAATACAAATATTTAGTTCACTGTTGTAGACTACACTGTAAGTCTTGCTTTGCCCAAAATAAATACAATACTTCATTAGTTCCCTCTAACCAGTGGAAAACAGCACTCACTATGCATATTCTGTAATTCCCCCATGGAGGAAGAGGGATTGCTCTCCACATTTCTGTCTCGAAAGATGAAGGATGAGCGTTGAAACTTGGACACCGGCTGTTCTTGTAAGCAAACAGCTCTGCAGTGTCGCGATACGTTTTTAGTTCTTCTCATGACAACACATCATTTTTAATTCAATCCAAAAGACTCATCTTCCCTCCCTCGCGGCTCTTCGTCCGATGTGTTTGAACGGGCCTCTCCTCCCTGATCTCCCCCCCGGGAAGATTTATGAGTAGGGTTGACAGACTGGGCTGTATCTCCCCCCCGGCCCAGGGCGATGCTGCCTTCCCTGCCAACCCTCTTCCAGGTGCATGAAGCCCCGCAGCCCTTCTCGTCTGAATGCAGGGAGCTGCCACCAAACCTCATCTCTCACATCATTTGTAAGATGTCAGACACAACAAATTCTCTTTTTATTGGTGATCGGTCCCGCCCTCTTTGTGGATGTGTTTTTTTTTCTCCTTGCTCTTTATATTGCCATGCCCTTTCTTTTAATAACTGGTAACAGATGTTTATGGCTTACCTTTAACTGAGGGCTTAGATTCTCTGCTTTGTGCCACTGATTGATAAGTGTGTGTGTGTGTGTGTGTGTGTGTGTGTGTGTGTGTGTTAGTGTGTTAGAAAGAGGGAAAGTTTGTCCGTCTGTATGTCTGCCGTCAATAGTTGACAGAGAGGGCATTCAGACAGATTTTGGAAATTCGTGCATCCACTGAAAACTGAACAATAACGAGTAAAGACTAAAACTGAAAGAAAAATGACTGCGTTTCATATGTGCAAATACTTTCATTATAAGAGAAGACAAAAAGATTTCAGAAAGGTATTTATCTTTGGATATGACTGACTGAAAACTGCACCTGCATAGGCATGGATGTGGAGTTTGTTTTTTTTCCACTCAACCCAGGCCATTATTCCACCGAACTGGATGAATCACGCGAACTTTATGAAAACCCAACACTCACACTGTAGCAACACAAAGCTCCCTGACATCTAGTTTATTCAGCCACTCTATCATTCACTTGTCTTTTCATTCATTGTAGCAGTCACAGCTTGATTCCACCCCCCTCACCACCGCCACCTTCCCATTGTGTGGCCCGGCGAGGGGGTTTCATACACACGGTGACCGATACAATGGTGGCATTGACACAGGTGATCCGATGCGTTCAGCCAGGAGTCTCTGTCCTTGTTTCTCTTTTCATGGCTGAGTAAAACATCCTCAGGAGCGATTCTAGGTGAATACCCTTGCAGGTGTTGGCACAGAGGAAGCGTCAGTCAAGTCTTCTCCAGCCCTGTAGACAAAGACAAAGCATGGCTGCACCCTGACAGGCTTGTAGTGACACTGAGTCATCCGTGTGTGTTCTACGGTTTATCAGTGCTTTCCAGTCTATTCATGAAAGCATTTTGCTTACGAGCCTCCTGATTAACATTTTGAAACAGAATTAACAATTTGTATGGCTTTGATAATGGATACCTGTTCTGCCACTGACTTGTTGGTGTAGTAGCTTGTTTTTATAAATACATTCGCTCCAACACACACTCCAAACCTTTTTCTTCACCAATCCCTCCAGAATTACACCTGTTAAAATAAAATGTTATGGTGCAGAGTTATTGATTCCCCAAATAAATCTCTAATTTTGCAAATGTTTTCTCTGCTTATCTCCTGCTTTCTCACTTTTGTAGTTCCTGCGGGTGGATCAGGATAAGGAGTGCAACATGGAATGCAGCGGAGCTCCTCGCAAGCCCCTGTGCGCCTCCGACGGCAGGACCTTCACGTCTCGCTGCGAGTTCCTCCGAGCCAAGTGCCGCGACCCCCAGCTGGAGGTCATTCGAGGGCCATGCAAAGGTCAGGTCATGAGTCACGCTTCAGCGCCGCCTGGTGCTCTCGAATGCGCAGAGGGGGGGGTCACAGTAGAACCTTGTGGGTTAAATTCATTTCAGCATAATTGATTCTTTGAGTGCTGGGAGGGCGAGTGGGGTTGACACATTGTGAGTGGGTGGGGGTGGTTCAGTTTCAGAGTGACTGGTTTCCAAATTTCACACCTTTTTAAAGGAAATGTACGTTCATTTGTCAAAATACTAAATTAATTAGTTTTAAAGTGGGAATTAGTTTTGTTTATTTCCTCATGCTTTGTTACAACAGAAATACAGCATCATTGGACCAACAACTTCCTCAGTGATAAGAAATGGCTTCAGCTCTCTGAAATCAAATTATTATGCCGAGGTGAGGGCTTTTGAATGAAATTCTTGACATGAATTAATGGTCTCATTTTCATCATACTAGATGTAAAGCTGTATGTATGTGACTGAGATGAAAAGCAAAAGGGGAAGGAGAGCCAATGAGGTCAGGCGGCTCACAGACTCCCTCATTGTTAGTCGTCATTGGAAGTAAAGCACCCATACACCCCAATGCTGCAGTCCCGAACCCTCTCACCCCGCCCCAACCTAATAACTCTATACTGCTAGTTCATGGCTCTACAGACCGGGGACAATGCCCCATTCTTACACATTACAATATTAGATCACCAATGCAGGGAGTGTGAGCGAAAGGATTTGCTTAAAAAGAAGTCTCGTATGATGGAAAAGCATTCCACGATCTTATGCCCGTTCTGATTCTCTATGGCAACGTCTCTAAGCGGACATCTGGATGTGGCAGACAGCGCCGTGACACAGAATAGAGGATTCCAGCTAGGAAGCTGAAAGGGACAAGAGTCCATGAAAGTCGTATTGTATACGTCAATAACATCGGGTCTATTAGAGTTCGGACCCCCCTCTGCTTCTGGACAGCCGGTTAGAAAGACACAGCAGCAGCAGCAGCCGAGTCAGCAGCCGAAATAAACCAGAGGGCCGCTCTGGCCTAAAAGCACAGAGATGGGATTGTGTTTCAAGATGGTGAGACTGGCACCACATTTGTTTTCTATCTCTGTGCTCAGATGATTCAAGTGTCCTGTCATTTTTTCCAGTAAGCTTTTTGGTCGGAGCCCCCTGGAGAAGGACGATGGTTTTGGGTTTTTCCACTGGAGCTAATTTTAGAGCTCCTCACTTGCTGCTTTCCTCCATCCAGAACATCCAGCGTCTTGCCCCCTCTCCTCACCAGAGATACACCCCCACACACACACACACACACACACACACACACACACACACACACTAGACTGAGAGAAACCATTGCACATTTCCCTGCATGTGTCTAATGGACAATCTACTGTAAGCCATGCCAGCGACATGCAGCCTCCTGACCAATCTGGTTAACGTTTTTAAACTTAGCATGAGTCATTACTTTAATGTGATTTGAACCTGCCAGGCAGTCGGGCACTGCACGGCAGCTAACATGTCGCTCCAAATTACCATCAAACCCATCGCTGCCCAACATTTCCTGAGAGTTTGCACAGCTGCTGCTGTTGGCCAGGTGAGATGAAGCAGCTGTGGAATGACAGGATGGGCCATGGCTCCGACAGAGAGATGTGAAAAGACTTGTGGTGCACATAGGTGAAAAGTTGCTGACCCACATTTATATATCGACAAATAGTTAAGACAGCTTGGGCTGAACTGAGGAGACGATCGAGGTTTTAGAGGAGAGTTCGACAGACTCTGAGACATTAAGGAAGGGTCAGGTTTTCCCTGTGCATCAGCCCTTTTCTTTGGTGACTGGAATGTTCTACAGGAGCAGCACGAGCTGCCTCGCTCAGTAATGGCTTTACCACCAGGCGCTGTGCAGGCTTGCTCTTAATAAGACCGGGGGTGTTGGTTCTATTCCCAGCCACACAAGTATCTGTCACTTCCGAAATGTTTTGAATAGTTTCCCCTCTGTCTCTCCACTTTCTCTGCATTTGTCTTTCATTCTTCATCATCTGTGAGATTCAACATCTTTTGCTGCTGACTTTTCTTTTAAGCATGTTGGTTTCGTTGTTGTGCAGCAAAAGAAAATAGTTGAGCTGTGGGTTGAATCCCGGGACTCTGTGATGTGTAGTGATTCTCGTGATTTGTGGTGCTCCTCAGATACATCCAGATGTGTAGCAGAGAAGAAGTACACAGAGCAGCAGGCTAAGAAGCTCTTCCCACAGGTCTTTGTGCCTGTATGCAACCCTGATGGCACATATAGCGAGGTAACAAAAAACGCAACATAAATAATACTTGTTTTGAATATGAGGGCTAGGGAGGCCCGAGTAGAAAGGAGTAAATCTTACGCTTCCACTTTTTTGCAAGAATTGCTCTTTTCTGCTGCATGAATTTAATGAATGGGTTTTTAACACTGTTCCTTCACAGTTCCTTCTTACAGAAGCCATATTAGGTGTTTTTTTTTAGCTTGTGCTGGCTTTGTGTTTACATGCTGCTCTGATTACAGGTTCAGTGCCACAGCTACACTGGATACTGTTGGTGTGTCACCCCAAACGGTCGACCCATCAGCGGCTCAGCAGTGGCCAATAAAAAACCTCGATGCCAAGGTGGGTAAAACCCCATCAACCTGTCTTATAAAAGGGCAGCTAAGGATGACATGTACAGTTATGCATACTGTATTTGCAGTTCAGTAAACCAGAACAGGCATGTCGTTTTGTAATAAGCCCGATGTATGACATACAAAAAAGAAAATAGAATTTGTACAGGAATGCGGTTTCTGTAACTTTGTGAAGCAATGATGAGAAATCGAATTCAACACAGCAAAGCATGACATTCTCTGTTTGTAGGGGGTGTAATATTCAGTCCTTTGGGAAAGTAGGCAGGGACTGGACTGATGGCCACGGGGTTTGAGTACCACCCGAGGCCTGAGCGTTGCTCAAGGCTTTGGGCTGTGTGTGTAAATAAGCCTTGTAGAAAATCCCTACTGCAGAGTTGGGCAACAAAGTTAAACTGTAAGGAATGTGTTCTCGGAGGAAAGCGTCTGCCAAACAATCAAATAACCAATGCCACATGTCCTCCCTGTGTGTCTCCGTCGGGTTGCCTCGGAAGTTGCTGCCGTCCCAGCAGTGAGAAAGATCCAGAAGTAGCGGCAGCAGTTGTACTGTAACTGCCAGCTACTTAATCATTGTTGTGTATATGAAGTGTAGAAATGTCATAAAATACATCTCAATCAACATGCAAGTGATTGGAGCCACTTTAAATCAAAGAATAACGTTTGAAAATGAAATTTAGTAAAGAGTTGCAATTCACCCCTTGTTCACGTCTGGTGGCGAATAAGGCCAAAATGATGCTAAGTGTATGCTGAAGATTTATACATTTTTTTTATCATTAAGGTTTGTGGTCGTGCATTTTCAACTAATTTGAACATGTTGCTTTTCAGGTTCAAAACAAGAGAGAGCTACTACAAGAGAGCCAGGTAAAGCAGGTGAGACTTTAATTCAAGAAAAAAATAATTCTCAGAGGCACATTGGCTCCTTTATGTGTGCATGCATGCGTTCGTGTTTATCCATGTGTGTACCTATCTAAGCATGCATGTACATGCAAGTTTGTATTCATTTGTGTCTGTCTGTTTGCCTACATCTGTGTTGGAGATGTGCAGGGTGGGTCGCCTGTTAAGGCTTGCCTTTCTAATATTTTGTCAATTTGAGAGCAGCCTGAAGGCTGATACAACAGCAGTCTGTTACTGAGTAACACGTCTAAGGAGAGAGGCTGTGGTGAGCTTTAATGCCCACCACCAGCAGCTACAGTTCCTATAACCGCCTGCTGTCCTTAACCAGGCAGCCAAACGGCCAGGGAGCAGCCAGAATGAAGGAAAACTGACTCATCATTCTCCTTCTCTAACTTGTTCTCGCTTGGTCTTGGTTCCTTTTCAGCAACAGTGTCATAAGATACAAGGAAATGTTCACACTTTATCTTCCACCCTAGTTTCACTCTGTCTCTCATCAACATCTACCCTCTTCCAGATATAGAACCACCAAGTTCCCCTCCGGCTCCACTCCAGACACTGTATATCTTATTCTCATCTTGTAAGAGATGATTTGTTTAACTGTTGTGATTTAAAGGCTCACACAGAAAAAGTGTAATTTGGGTTGATTCCTTATTTGATTGTCTATGTGTGTTTGTTGGCATGCATAAGTGTGTGTGTGTGTGAGAGAGAGAGAGAAAGTTCATAAGCGTCCACTTGTGTTTGTCACATGGGTTATTCCTGTCAGTGTGACATTTACGTCTGCGCCTCTCTGTAAACAGTCTTGGGTATAGTGTCTGTCTGAGCCAACTCATTACACATAGATCAAGTGGGAATGCAAAATTTGAGAGAGGAGGAGGGATGGTGAGAGAGGGGAAGGAGGTGAAGGGGTGGTTGTGGTTCCATCTGAACTGGTCGGATAAACAGGGTGGTGAAAAGCAGAATAAACTATAGATTTGTGGTGTGCCAGCACTGAAAATAGCAGTGATTGCATCAATATTTTGATTCAGCAGAAGCCCATCACTACCTAAGCAGCCATTTCTGCACTTTTATTATCTGAATATTGGTAATGTTAAACACCAAACGCTTTACCCTAAACCCATTTTTGGTGCTTGAGAAATTCATATGCAGCTGACGACTGACAAACAGCAGTTAAACTAATGCCGTATGACCACAGATAGCATGGGGTTTTCCTGGCAGATGCTAAAAGAGGTGTTACAGTCATGTAAATGGCCGCAAAGTATAGATTGGTCATTAGTGGTTTATCGTAAATCCCAATCATAAATACACTTTTTGAAATGGCATTTCCATCCGTTAAGTGAGCAGAGTAATAACATGTCTGCCTTAGTCGCACTGTATGTATTTTTATCCACCGAGCATGCTTGAGAAGATGAATGGCTGGCATAACAAACGTGCATTAAATGTAAAATCCTGATTTTGCAATGGAGAATTTATTATTAAAGAAAAGAAGTTTAAACTAAATCCGTGTTTTTGGAGCCACCCATTAGAGATGCCCTGACTCATGCATTAACAGAGCTTTACTTTGAGCAGAATGAATGACCTACACTGAGGTTAACCACACCTACAGCCGTGGTTTTACCCAAAGCGACTCAAGACCTCCATCCCTGTCTCCCCCCTATACAGCAAATCAAACAAACGCAGTCCAAACAAACACTGAGCTTGATTCTCCCACTGTTAACTGGTTTGTCTCAGACTTGGCTACTGCATTCTTCACCTCTTGTGTCTCTCCCACCTTCACGCAGCTCTCATGACTCAAATGCAGGCAATGGAAGGATGGAGAAGAGCATCAGGGACCACTGGTCCTCATCTTCTCCTCATTCATTTTAACTGACCTCAGTCTGTCCTCCATAGCATAATGATCTCCCTTGTTGCATGAAGTGAAACCATGGGAATAAATGACCACTATACTTCTGTTTTCCTCCTCTCTCACTGTAAGACACCTCTTTCCGCTTTCAACACACACACACACACACACACACACACACACACACACCGTATTTCTCTCTCTCTCTCATTCTCCTAACCTCTCACTTCTGCCTCCACCATTTTTATCCGGGCAACGTGCAAATCTCACATTAAGTGTTCTTTTGCTTACTCTCGTAATTGTAGTCTCCTTGCAAATATTCTCCATTCTAAATGCAGATGAGACTGGCCTAGTGGTGGACCCACAGCCTGCTGGTGAGGAAGAAGGTGAGTTCTTATACGTTAGACTGTGAGTAAAAAGCGCTTGTTGCTGCGCCTGTGTTTACCACCACTGAGTGACATCCTTAAAAGGGAGAGGGAACCTGCACACCAGACAGTTACAGCATCATGCTTCAAAGAGGTCATTAAGGAAAATGGGATAGTGAAACATTTTTAAATAGATCCGATGTACAATGTTTGATGAAAATATAAAGCAAAACTAAAAGAGCAATTTCACCATGAGTTGTGTTTTTGCTCTTAAAGCTCTATAAGCTGGTCCTACCAGATCAAGTGATCTCACAGCAAAGCGCCTGAATGTTGATTTCAGCAAGGTTTCAGCAATTTCATTTTTCATTTGTAGAATAAGATAGATGTGGTATTTCTTCTTTCAGAAGTACATGTACTATAGTACTATAAGTACACTTTTGAGGTATTGCACTTAACTTTAGGTATTCTTTGTAATCTAATTTACTTTTCAACTACATTTTGGAGGCAAATATTGTACTGTTTACTCGACTAGATTAGCTGACAGCTGTAGTTAGTGGCTGCTTTACATACATGAAATTACCCAACCCCATATAAGGAAGTTAATGTCAGCTCCAGTTGGAGCAGCTGCAACATTAACATGCTTCTAATAATTCAATAGAATAGTACAGATTAACATATAATATAACAAATAATACAAATAAACATCTGAAAGGGGTAAATCTGCTAATTATTACTTTTGCTTTTGACACTTTTAAGTATTTGCATCAGTGCATGACATGACAGTGTTTTTATATTGTGATATCATTTAAAGACTTCCTCCATTTCTAGTTCAATAAAGATAATCCATTTATGTGAATGGGAAGCAGACAGTAGTTGTATTTGAGCACATTTATTGGCCTTTTATATTGTAAAGGAAGTCGTGTTTTATGATTTTACGTTTATGTGATCATTTGATAAGACAGTGGGAGACTCACAGTTATAGCTTACCTTTTTGCTGCTATATTTCTGGTCACAGCTGTCATATACAATTGACCTTGCACCTCCTCTCCAGGAGTTTGAGATACGATAACCTTGATGTGCATTTTATGGTCTGTGAGTTTTGGAACCACCAGGTTTGGCACAGATGATATACAAGTGTGTTTTCGATTGAAGCTAATAAAACTGTCTTGGTGGTTTCTTTCAGACATCGTTTCCCAGTACCCCACTCTGTGGACGGAGCAGGTTCGCAGCCGACAGAACAACAGAACCAGAGCACCATGTGAGTTTCAAACCACTTCATCTTTAATGACGGCGATCGGGTGTTTGCAAACCTCAACTAAAAGCACGCACTGTGTTTTTCCTACTTGTGTGAGCAATCATGGTTTGAGGCTGTTCCTGTCTTTTAAGGACAGATGGTGGGTTGTGAAACCAATACGTCTTGGTGTTGGAGTGCGTCAGGCTTTGAGGATCTGCTTCTTTGTGGTTCTTCGCGTTGCAACGTATCTGTAATTATCAGCACATGGCACAAACACAGAATCTCCTATTCTTCAGGCTGGTCCGTTCTGGTCTCCTCTTCCACGCATACACGTTTATTTTACTGTAAAGATCAATTGTCTCTTTGGGGAAATATGTTGCTTTCTGCATAAAACAATACTACTTTGAGCCCCGCCTCGGGATGAGAACCCTTTGTGCATTTGTGTGTGAATCCCATTATCATAATTTACAGCCAATAAAAAAAGCCTGAGAAATGCAGCATTGATGGTTTTGATTACCATGTGCTCTTTGGGGTATTTGGGTGAAAAAAAAACCCCACCCGCCCCACCAAAGAGAGCCCATACGGAGGAACTGGAGCGAAGAGAGAGTCGGTTGAGAAAGCGGGGAGGCATTTCATTTGGTCTCTTTTGTGTGGGTAAAGATCTCTAATGAAAATAAACAAAGAAAAGGGATATCCATAATCCCGCAGTAGCTTCCGAGCCTTAAGGCGAGTAGCGAAGAGAGGGAGAGATTGGTGCTGAAAGTCCTCATGGCCAGAAGAGCTCTACTTTCATCCCGTAGTTTAATGCTCAAATCTCCGTTGGAGAGTAGCATTACAGAGAAGGAGGCTGCTGCACAGAAACAAGTCTGATTAGATCCTGCTGAGGCTCTGCAAAACCCCTCTCACCCATCGAAGCTGCTCCATTCTCTGTGTGTACGGATAAAACACAGGATCACAAAGCATCGCATTTTTCCCCTGGAATTTTAAACATATAGATCCCTGGTTCTTTACAGTAGTGTTTCAGTGTGTGTGTGTGTGTGTGTGTGTGTGTGTGTGTGTGTGTGTGTGTGTGTGTGTGTGTGTGTGTGAGCATGTGAAGGCGAACGCCCGAATGACCACTGTTCTGCTTTTGTCTTGTCTGTTTCTCTGTCTGTCACACACATCCACAGAGGGCAGTTGAGTGTCCAAATATTTACTTAACTTGGGGCATAGGGAGCTGTACTTAGTCATTAGCCCGTTAATGTCCGTAAACAGTGCCACGGGGGGCTGATATAACAGTCTACACACACTGTCTCTGAGCACTCATCCTCCACCGCTTTGTCTTCTCCAGCGCTTCAACCTCCTCTTCTTCTTCAGGGATGTCTTTGCAATGCTTAGAGTGTAATGAGAGAGCACTACATGCATTTGGCTTATATATAGAAATTAATTCAAACATACTTCATGTTAGATAAATCCAAAATGTGTGCCAGATCTGATTAGGAGTGATTCTTAACTTTAAACAAACTCTCTTCTTCAACGTCAAGTGTGTGTGTGTGTGTGTGTGTGTGTGTGTGTGTGTGTGTGTGTGTGTATGTGCGTGTGTCTGGGGTGTGTATTTGCCAAGTCACACAACCTGGACCACCTAGCTAAATGCAATAGTCTTTGTAGGCGGCATGTGTTTATGTGACCAATCCACGCCTCCACTGATTCCTGTATAACCTCTGACCCATCTTCCCAGCCTCATCATGTGACCAGGAGCAGCAGTCGGCCCAGGAGGAGGCGAGGCAGCACAAGAACGATGCCGTATTTGTACCAGACTGTGCCCAAGGAGGACTTTACAAGCCAGTCCAATGCCACCCCTCCACCGGTTACTGCTGGTGTGTGCTGGTGGACACGGGACGGCCCATACCTGGGACCTCCACCAGGTGGGAGAGACCTCACCTATGGTACTTTCACCTTAATTCTTGGAATTTATTATTCGGTTCTTTGTGGCAATCACATCAGACAGTTGTTACACAAAGCAGGTAAGTGATCAGTAGCAACCCTAACACAGCAGAGTGGCCAATTGATAGAGAGGCTGACCAACTGTGACCTGTGTTGGTTAAAATGTTTTAGAACAATTGAGCATTATCTTTCCTGCAAGTCTAACAATCATGCAAACGTTATAGAAGAGTCTCTATTTAGAAGAAATTCTAAGAAATAAAGCAACTGAAAGTAACTTCTCTATTTGAGACTCAAAAATGCACATAAGCAGACAGATATACATCTCGATTGAGGATGACGCAGAGTAAGTCAGTGGTCTGCTGAGCGGCAGGTCAGGGGTCAGTCAGACTGGCAGAGTGGGGCACTGGTACACTCTTATTGAGCAGCAAGGCTGGGGATCAGATTAACAAGGCTTCAGGCAGAGTGCCAGACACCACATTAGTACACATATGGAAGCGTGGATTTCCCCCCTACTCTCTCCTTGTCCCAGATCAGCTTTTGGCCCAGTCGCGCAGCAGCAATCGGGGCTCTGCCGGTTTGCCAAGGGACACCGTGAAAGCTTCCTTGTGTCCCACGCTCCCTGTCTGCCTCTCTCCATCTATCTCTCTTTCTCACTCTCCCTCCCCCCCGTGTCCTCATACCAGCCCCAAATCCTTCCCGTCTTTCTGGATGTGATTCAGAGCCTCTAGTTTACCACAAAACAATTATTTGAATCCCTGAGATTTAACTGTACAGGTAATTGGAAAACATCTCTCTGATTCTACAATGGGGAAAGTTTTACTGTAATCAACAATCCCTTTTATCCATTTCACCTTGAATGAATTGGCTTTTTCTCATGTTGTCTATTCTTTGTCGCAGGTATGAACAGCCAAAGTGTGACGGCAATGCCAGGGCCCACCCAACTAAACCTAAGGACCATTATAGAAGCAGACATCTCCAAGGTAGGTCTCTAAAGACTGAACTCAGTCTTGTTTTTCCTCTTTGTTCAGACCACATGGTGAAGTTCTTCAGCAGTCAGCCTGCAACTGTTGCCGTGCTTCTAAGGTTGTGATAACTGTGTGTGTGTGTGTGTGTGTGTGTGTGTGTGTGTGTGTGTGTGTGTTTGTTGACATCAATAGCACTGTTGGTCAAAGAAATGCTTGATAAAGAGTTGAGGATTGCCAGAAACAGCCCCTCGATGGTCAATAAGCAAGGAGACAGAGACAGATCGGGTTGAGGATTAATCTTCAGCTGACATGGGAGATGGAGGATAGTGGGATGATAGCATGGAGGAGAAACAGCAGGCGGGAGAGGTAGAGATAGTGGATAGTAGGATGCCAGAGATAGTGATAGAAAGACTGACAACAGCGTAGATAACTAAATTGAGAGTGGGAGAAGGAGTTCGGGGGTTGCGGTCATGGGGTGGGCTTAGGTACAGGTGAGCTTGTGTTTGCTGTGTTGGGTAAATATTTGCTGATCCGAATTTGACACTTTCAAACTCCAGAGTTTAGATTGTGATATATTTGAGTGGTATTTACTAATGGATAGAGCTAAAGATGCTAAAATGACTATGCCTGTTTACATTCAAGTGACAAAGGAGGAGGTTGGGTTGGGGTGGTTGGATGTTTAATTTGAAGGACTTGTTGGTGATGCTATGGCTCTTACAGGTAGGAACGCTGTCTGGAATCCAGTTTTCCCAAAGAAACCAATAAATCTGGTTATTCTAGAACTAGGAGATATATTGATATGTTAATAAAACATCTTGAATATGTATCAAGATGTTTCAAGTTGTAGCACTCTTTAAGGGAAATAGCTTCTTTTTTTTATTACAACTTTTTGGTCTTGTTTTATATCCATCATTCCACCTACTGACCTAATTGCAGAGATACAGAATCATAGGCACTTTTACAATTGAATCCCAAAACATGAGTGATTAAACCTATTTTGAGCAGGTTTAGCTGATTGCCATTACCTAAAGCGTTTATTTTAACATGAAAAAAAAGTTAAAACTGTTTCCCAAACTGTTAGAGATGTCCTTCATTTTGCTGAGCTGCTTCCAGTTTTAACCTTCATATTCTACTTACCATAGACAGTTGCAATGCAGTAGATGGAGGACATTGACATTTGTTTTCATCACATTTATAAATACTAGTGAATTTTTATCAGTAATTGCATGACTTGTCCCTCTCATAAAACCAACGATAGGCAAAGTAGAGTTATAGTTGTCAGGTGCTGCGTACAACCAAATAAATCACAGTTTAAGGCTGAAAGGTGCTTGGCGAAGTTTCTGTTTTTTGGTGGTTTGGTAAACATGTTAATAATCCTCCAGCAAATGAACAGAGCTACCACTGTTCCCATCCCATCCACAACTGTTTATGTAACAGTGTGCCGGGCCAGAGCTGTGCTCTCTGCTCGCAGGTGCTGCATTTAGCAGCAGAGCAACGCTCGGTCTCTGCTCTGCCATCAAGTACTCTTGTACAGTGTGTATTAAACAGTGAGATAAACAGTAACAGATGAATGCTCCTGGGACCAACAAATGTTACTCATCTTTGCCAGCGGCACTGGTGGTACATTATTGCTAAGATATTGAGCAGGAATAATAACAGTGTGTATCTGCGGAAAGTGTCAAGTGGCGATAGGGTGGAAAACGGCCACAACCATCCCATGAGAAAGACCTCAACCCCACCCAAACACCTCCTTAACACACAGTGGTAGGACAGAAAACCATATACGTATTCAGCCATGCAAACGCCTAACACAGGAGTACACAGACTTCATTCTATATGTGTAAAAAAAAACCTGCACCGTATCAGCCAGGTCTCCCATTATACAATACACACAGGCAAAAAAAAACCACAGCATCTTGTTTTCTTTATGAGCAGTTGCGTCAACGGCTGTAAACGGTGTTACTGTATGAACCAGCGATAATTATAAATGTTGCCTTCACGTTGCTGCAGCCCATTTGCTGTTGAAGCGCTGGTGTTGAGAGGTTTATGGGGCGAGATGCGAGAAAGGAGAACTTTGCCCTGAAAGAGGCAAGAGAGGAAAGCGAAGCATTTGGCAAGCTTCCTCCCCAGAGCGGTATCATGGGATAGCATTGGGGCAGCCATTGGGAGCTGCGGCTGTGAGTGCTGACAGGGCTCTGCCCCATGTGGCTCCATAGAAAAACACAGCGTCTTATTGACAGTAGCATACGGGCACACATGCAAACATGCACTTACTGGCCAACTTTTTACAGACAGCAGATATATAGAGGTGTATGAATAGTGGTGCAGATCTTAGCTTTTCAATAAGAAAAAAATGAGAATTTGAGAATTTTCACAACTTGATTCCATCCTGCATCTGTCAAACTGGGCATTACATGATTATGATCATTAAGGAATAAGACAGCAGTCATTTTCTGCTGCAGCCACGAACTGAACGGAAAATGGCCAGACTCAATTTCCTTTAAATGACAGCAGGAACATTTGTGTCCGGCCCCTCAGCTAAATATTGTCCAGACAGACAGAAGCTGATCTGTCCCACCCCACCAGGAAAACCTCTGCTGCCAAGAGGAAGGGACTGGAGCATTACCTGATGGCTTCCCATTTGAATGAACAACAGACATGCTCAGATTCCTGCCGCATTACGGAGAGGACGTGTGCGCTCTCCATGAAAAACACTAAACCTCAAACAAGTCCAACTGCATCCCACAAATCTCCCTTCAGCCAGAAGCCACATAAAATCACTTTGCCTTCAGAGGGTGCAATTGTATGGCTGTCTAGACTAAATTACCACAAGAGGCTCCACAAGGCACCAGTTTGGCCATTAACAGGTGGGTCAGATATTTTACTGGGCAAGGGAAGGCCTACTAAAAGTCGAGTGCTGTTCAGCATGTAAAGGAAGCTGTGGAAGCGTTTGGACATGTGAATGTTTCAACCTCTGGCTCGGTGCAGGCTGCTGAAGACCTGCGCCACTTGGGAAAGGTGGAGTGGAGGCTGGGTGCTGGCTGTTTACGCCGATGCTGGTCGCCACCTGTTGGAGAGGAGCAAAGCATGCTATTATCTCCAACACAGGAGAATCTGGCCCCGCAGGCCATGGGTCATAAAAGGTGTAGCACACTGTGGAGAATTTCTTCCTCTCCACAGGCAGAATAGCAAGAGGGAAGCCGGACTGTGAGAAAGCAGAGAAGAGTCTGGAGAGGAATCCAGGAATCTCTCAGGCCTGCGTAGCCTTCAGCTCTTCCAGAGCCACTCTGTCCTCCTCACTCTTAAAACTATATGGCCAAACAGACAATTACTATCATCAGGGTCATTCCACCACAGTTGTCCCTCCATTTTAATTCTTCTCCCGTCATTCTCTATGTAATAATGCTTCTCTGTCGGTTTTAGTTGGGTAGTTAATAATACATTTTACCTTTTTGATAGGTTTATTGTCCAATTAAATCAGCCTCTTCTCTGGTTGACATTTCAAATAGAAATTCCATCACACACTGAAGTCAAAGTGTTGAGTTGTGCCTCTGGATGCATACCTTTTTAAATCAGACATCCCTGTCAAATCCTAAGTAGCAGTGTGTCTGTCAGGACTGTATTTGGTCTCCTTGATGTCTCAGGTGAGTCTCAGGTACTGTATGGAGCCTCTTGTCCACACATACAATGTTCAGTAATGTCTTCTGTGCTCCAGCGGTCAAAACCACTCAGGGGCCTCCAGCATGAATGGCAGGTCCCCTCTTCCTCCTCCAGATGAGGGGAGGTCTGACACTTTATGAGACCGAGTAAAAGACAACTGTGAGAGTAACGTTTGGGTTTATTTTCTTCCTCTGCCGTCTTTATGTGCTACGCAGCCTGCAAGATGACATTTATTAGGCCACCTATGACAGCAGCATTCCACATTTAATGCTGTTGACTGGGGGATCATTTTTCTGTGTTCGCTGACACATATATACGTACACTTACTTCCATATGAACCATAATGCATGCTCACACACACTCATTCAGGTATTTGTGGTTTATTTTCCAGGCTGTCCTGGGGCAAAGAAAACCGAGTTCCTGACAAGTGTTCTTGACGCTCTGTCAACAGACATGGTGCACGCCGTCACAGATCCTGCATCCGCCGGAAGGTATGACATTCGGAAGTGAATTTACTCATCTTACGCTTATTGATGAACATCAGTGGGTTCAGTCATTCACCTAAAAAAAGGCACAGCATTGACATTATATATTTAAACAGTTGGATGAAGTGATGGAAGGGCGATTATTAGCTCATGAACTGATATCTGTCATTTAGGATGGCTGAGCCCGACCCCAGCCACACCCTGGAGGAGAGGGTGGTCCACTGGTATTTCAGTCAGCTGGACAAAAACTCCAGTGGGGACATTGGAAAGAAGGAGATCAAGCCTTTCAAACGCTTCCTGCGCAAGAAATCCAAGCCAAAGAAGTGTGTGAAGAAGTTTGTGGAGTACTGCGACATCAGCAACGACAAGGCGCTGTCTCTGCAGGAGCTGATGGGTTGCCTCGGGGTGATCAAAGAAGAGGGTGAGCTGAACAACACAACACGATCATGGCAGTCAGAGGGTGAATTAGAATCAGAGCTACATGATGTTTAACAATTTGCCGTGCAGTGTATCACCTTTCAAAACCAAAAATTCAGTCATTCTTGCATCGTTGCCAGAATTACTCTGAAAAGTCCAGGGATAGTTTTTAACCAACTGATGGAGCTAACCATAATTAGGGTATCTAACTACAGCTAATACCAATAGTTGTCACTTCAGCTGGCAACATTGGTAGGGAAGTTGAAACAGGAAGTCTGCTCTTGTTTACATATGTTTCAAATCAAGGACCAATTGTTTCAAAAATTACTAAGAATTTCAGGAGGTGCTTCAACTGACCTGCTGTATTTCACATATTATGGTTGTTGAGATTTCTATCACTTTTTGTTTCACAGGGGCCAAACCAGGAGAGGGTTTATCTTCCAGTAAACTAGTAAGTAAACCACTCCTCCAATACTAGTGGCTGCTAAACTGGAGGCACATCTACAGTCTGACTGTAATATTGTTTTATCTCTGTTTGTGGTGACTGAGTATACTGTGAATATAAAGTCACTAAATAAAACTTGCAAAGTATCAAGGGCATGTGTCAAACTGATGTCACTTAAATTTTCTCTCCCCAGAATCCCTCAAAGAAGCAGGGCTAAGCCAGCATTTGAGATTTCCCCTCCCGCATGGAGAATCTGCCCTCAACAATCGGCAATAACGGAAACCATAGTATTTGCACTTTGTACTTTAAAAAAAGAAATGTAAATTCACTTTGTAGAAATAAGGTATTTAAACAGACTGCTGAATCTGTGAATGATGTAGTTAGCTTTTTATGTCCTGACAAACAAAAAATATTTAACACATACAATGTATGTGTCCTTTGTGTGTCTAAAAAGTATACTTTTCAAAGTTGTCATGTTTTCATGTTCGATGTTGCTTTTGTGCCCCTTCCCTCACTGTACTTTTCTCCTCACGTTGATGATGGTAAAGCGGATATATGGATAGTTTGCTACAATAACTTAGACCATCTCTCATGTACTGACCTATATCATTTCTTCTTGTGCTTTGTACAGCAGTTTGCAAGAATGTTTTAAACATGCAGCATAAAAACGTCCTACATGTTCACGTGTATCCATGTTTATTAGAAATAAAGACCTCTTTTATACATTTGGTTCTCTGTGGTTCTGCCGGTCTTAATGTGTCAAAAGTTAATTGGGTCAGCAAATTCCTTTGTTTCTCTCCAATCCAATTAGTCTTCCATGTTTTCCTTCTCCTTATATAAATCTTGTAATGTCTTTGCCATTTAGTGTTTTCTTGCTGTCTTCAATAAAACACCTTGTTGACACAGTCTTTATGAGCCAAGTATTAGTCATACATAGCAAAGGTCGTGTATCATCCCATTTTCAGACAGCTTGCCAATTCCCTTGAGGCCACATTTAAGAATTGGAAAAAACGGATGGTACTTATGTCTGTTCTCGTCACAGATTTCCCACGTAGGCTGAAGACAGATAAATGGACCAATCTTGGGTGTGCATGGTGCGAGTGCCTATTGAAAGGGAGTTATATGAGCCAGTGCCTGTATGTGAACGTGTATTTGCATAAGGTATACTTACATGTATGCAGTAAATGTATACTTTAACAGTCAGTGAAGTTTGAACGGATTCTTTCTTAAAGAATGACGTTCGGCTCAGGGCAGCCTTGACACATTACACTACTGTACATTGTTCGTGCCTGATTACATTGGGGCTACGAAGTGGTAAACCGTGGCTTTTCACACAGAAAGTCCCTATAGGGCTGAGCGACTGACCTCAGACTGACCTGTTCACTCAGGCATAGCCTCTAATTTATGATTAACACATCGGTCTCCTTTCTCATATATAATCCAGCCCAATGGTCTGGTTTTAACACCCCGGGGGAACACACAAGAGAGATTATGACTGCCTGCTCTATAATGGTGGATTAGAGATGGATAACCTATGCCTATGGCCTTCTTAAGCCCTTTCACAGCAAAGGAAAGTTAAATCTGAAGCAAGTGCTATGCTGCAAGGATGTTTACGTTTTTATCCCACTTCACAAGTATACTGCTAACCAAGCCTTTCTATGTGTGTAAAATCATCTGGTGTTCTTTATTTGCTTGCTATTACAAAGTCTTCAAATTATAAACTCACAATATAGCTCCATCTCTTTGCAATGTTCCTAATTTCCACCAGTGTCCCTTGGACATAAATCCCCTCGAAGGTGATGTTAGTACCGTGCCCAGAATAACATTTGCTTTTCCCAAACGGCAATGCAATCTGTTCCTGTGGCTGTGCTGGTTACAGGTGTAGCAATGCAGAAGCTACACCTTACTGCTGCTCTCCTTGTCCAGCAAACTGATCAACCTCCACCTAAACCTCTAGCCAACTCTAGCTCCTCGACCGCTGCTGAAGCCCCAACCTCCGCCCAACACAATGCTTAACCCTTGTCATGTGTGATTTCTTCTCCCCTGGGCTGAGATGCACATAAACACCTTTTACGATTTGGCTGGCTGTCAGGGCATGGTTTTCCGAATATGTTCTGCTGATGGCTTGGACTCGTGGCTGAACTGATGGAGTAGCTGTAGAAAAGCATCCAAACATTTTTGGCACGGTAACCGGGACTGCCTCCCGATTGGCGAGGCCTCCCCCTCCACTGCTCTTCAGTCCTGCGTCCTCACTTGTCTCACTCACACATGCACAAACACACTCCCTGAGCACAGAGATACCATTGAGCGGGATTTGTGGGCACAGTTTGTGTGCTTTAATGGGCAAGAGGAGGCACCCGATCTGACCACTGGCAGGTTTCGCGAGCTGTGGACTCGTGAAGAAATTACTGTCAAAAGCCATCAGGTCTTTAATAGCCTCTGGCCCAGCTGCTGCTTCCCCCTGGCCCTTGGAGGGGCTCTGGTCTGTGGGTAAACAGCGTGGGGACGACCTGCACCCTGGGACCCTCTCTCACTCTCTTACTGCTTCCCCTGGTGTGGCCCAAACACCCCAGCAGTCCTGCCAGCGTGGCAGGACACCGCTGGCCATTACACTCAAGAAAATTAATTGCTAGAGGAGGTGTGACTTTTTAATGGCGTGCAAAAGAAAAACAAGTGGTGCTAAGTGTTTGCATGGGAGTAGGTGCACTCGCACAAGGAGCCTTTTCACAAACTCTATCCCCCATCTAAATTACCTTATTTATTGTGGGTAAGCAATAGTTTGATGTTTTAAGAAAAACCCATGTTTGCTTTTTTGTCGTCAGTTAGCACTGACATGTCAGTACATTAAATATACGGCAACAGCCATCTGACGATTAGCTTAGCATAAAGACTGGAAACAGCTAAAGGTGACAAAATCCAGCAACCAGCACCTCAAAATTTCACGAATCAACATATCTTCTTTGTTTATTGGTACAAAACCAATGAGTAAAAATTGTTATGCGTCTTTCACATGAGTTTATGTGCAGGACTACTTCTTCGCTGGGCAAAAGGCAGAAACTCTTAGGAATTTACTGCTCTCGGGTAAGAAATTCCAGACATAACCCCAAAAAAACATTTTCTTTTACATTTTGTTTTTGTACAGATTAAAGAAAAGAGATATAACATTTCTTTAGTGAGCTTTATAGGTGCTGATAGCTGTTTCCTCTGGTAAGCCTGGCTAGCTGTTTGCTATCCTTAGTTTCCAGTCTTTATGTTAAGCTAACTCATATTCATCATACAGACATCGAAGTGGTATTAATGATTTCACTTACTGCCAAGAAAGCGAATAAGTGTATTTTCCAAAAATGTTTAAAACAAACACAACTAGACCTTTTTACAAACCACATATGTGTCATTAGTGGTTTTGTCTGGAATAGCCAGAACTCTTGAAGTTGTTCTGTATATACATATAAGGCCATATGATATTTTTCCCTTTAGTGAATCAAATGCATAAAAACTATTAAATCAGCCTCCTTTGTTTGCGATGGACTCAACCAGCATTAGTCATTCCTGCCAAACAGCCAACTAAGCAAGATAAAATGTTACGCTCGAGATAGAGTGTCTGCAGTGTTAAGGGAAAACCGAAGGGAACGCTGTCTTCTGTGCTCGTAAGGCGAATTGTGCAGCTTTTCTCATTTATGTGTTCCAGCTGAATGGGGTGGCTGCCAAGTTCGGGATCTGGCCCGGCATCAGAATTTCCCGGGGTGATAAAGAGACTCTTGTTTGAATCACAGTTAATAAACAGTGGGAGAGAAAAAAAACTGTGACACTGAGAGAGTGATATGGGCAATTAGGGGAGTGAAATTTCTACTAGACAAAAGACAGAATTGTGTATGTGGTCATGGCCTTCACACCTCCAAACACCCACTAATTATAGACTAGAAAGCAAAATTCTGAAAATGTGTAGAGCATTCACCATATACAGGTTATATACAATATATGTATACAATATACCAAGTCCACATTTCATGTTCCAGTAATGCAGTAACTTGAAATAGACGGCATCTTTAAAGAGTTACAGTGCTGCATTCTGTGTCCACTTAGCCTTTTTCCTCCAAAACAAACCTGCAGATCTGGACATAACAATATTTGCATTCATTGTTGAATATTTGGGGGGATTAAAACCTCTGGGCTTGGGAGCTGGAGGGTGGGTGTGCATGTGGGGGGTACTCGTCCTTTAATCTCATTCTCACAGTGTCTGCCTTTGACATAGCAGTATCCCATTTGAGCCTGACCAGGGCTGAGAGGGAGAGCCGCGAGGAAGGGGCAACGATGGGAGGAAGAGGGAGAGAAGCAATGAGGGGTACTGGAGGTAGGGAAGGAGGTGGGGGGTTGTCGGGCCTAAACTCAAGGGATTAACAGGGTGACTTCTCCTGTGGAATGTTCCACTGACAGCCAAGACCCGCCCACCCACAGCTGCCTGCTACAGACAGGTGCACGGCCAAGGCGAGGCGGGTGGTGGGTGGATGGGTCAGAGAGAGATGGGGTGGCTGAGATGGTGAGGAGGAAAACAGACTTCCATACGTAGCCACAGACTGATGAGTATATCAATAAACAATTTGGCCAAAGATCCTTATTCAAAGCAAACTGGTCCATCAACCTCAGCCATAGCGTGGAGTGATTATACCACCTGAAAACAGGAATCTATCCATATCATTTTAGAAAGACTATTACCCAATACAATTTTTTTTTAGGTTTTATTCACTTCATAAACAGGCCGCGAATCTGTGGTAAACTAAACTCCACACTTAGCCTTCCTGAACAAGCAAGCTGAATAAGTTACAGATCAATCATATACGCAAACCTCTCTTGATCTTCACTCCAGAACAATGCCCGTGTATTTCAGTCCAGCCATTTAATCAGTGTGCTGTATACAAAGCAGACATGGCAGCATTTGGTAACACGAAGAACAGTAGGTGAATTCATTTGTCCTGCCATAATTTATGTTTGGGAATGTACAAGAGCTTGCCCATGCTTGCTGCACAGTCTTAAGTATTACTTTGTAGAAATGGAAGACAAAGGATTAATTTTCTGCACTATTATTTTCACGTTGAATTAATTCCATATTAATGTCTTTCTTACATCCTCTGGTTGTGTCAAGTAGCGACAAAGGACGATAAACACTGCTGCTGATCTACAACAATCCCATGTTCAGAAGCGAGGAAAAGTCCCTCACACGTTTCCCTTTGAAGTCGGTGGGATTCCTGAAGGTGAGCATGATTGTGCTTCTAAGATGTTTGATTGATAGAGGGTCTGTGAAATCTGACTCTTTGTTTTGCTCTCTCTTTGGTGACCTGCCCCGCCATGTCTCCTTATGTTTTGAGAAGCAGGTAGTCTATCCAAACATCAGGTGAACACCGGGGGACAACACACCGCTCAGGTGGTGGGACTCCAGTCTTCAGAGGTCAAAGGTGACAAACCGGGGTCACTGTGGGATCCAGGTGGATGTTGTGGAGGAACGGTTTCTGGTTTCTCTAGATACAAGCAGCAGAAAACAAAGAAAAAACACAGGTGAGGTGTAAAAGATTTTGACTTGCAAAAATGTTGGACAGTCCACCGCTTTGATCCAGAATGAAATATCTCTATTACAACTATTGGATAGATTGCCATTACATTGTGTACATGGTTCCCAGGGGATGAATCCCACTGGCTTTGATGAGCCTTTATCTTTTTGTCTCGCGCCA